TTTTGGGTCGTAGTCAGGTAGTTCTGGATTATTGGCCTTTGCATATCGTTTGGCTCCTACAGAAGAAATCCCACCTCTTTTTGCCCTTTCAAAGAACAAGTGCTTATCAATGTCTGTCAGTAGTTCCAATTATATACCCGAATGCTTTAACAATGCATCCCTCGACAGACCCGGTGACGTGTAATAGTTGGCTGGGTCAAGGCCGTAGTGTTGTTTACAGACTTTACGGAAGTTTTCAAAAACAGCCGCTAGCAATAACACGTCCGTTTCCACGTATAGGTTATGGTAGTCGCCTAGGTTTTTACAACCAAAGGCTTGCCATACTTTTTCGCACGAGCGTATTCTTGCTCGGTCACGGTGGACTGCTTCAGAGAGCTATAGAAAGCGTCTATAGGCGGGAGTTTTGTTTCTTGAAATCGATCAAAGGAATCGATATATTCAAAGTGATAAATTCCTTTGTCCAAGAGTAAATGACTGTTATTTGGAAACCTTTCGCATAATAAGTTAAAATCATCGGGTGAACAATTTTTAACCAACCGATTTAGCGAAGCCGCCATGAAATGAAATGAGTCTAATAATCTGAGTTGGCCAAAAGAAAACGAAATGTAATTTTCGGTATTTTTAGCGATCAACTTAATTGATTTCCCGTAAAATTTGTGAGCGCCTTGCATGATTAAATGTGCGTCATATTTTTCTAAATTATGTAAAATCACCGGAATGGGTGTTTGCTTGGCCACTATTCTTAACTTGAGATTACACCTGGCGTGCGCTGGGCCTCGGTACTTCCCCGTCACGTGACAATGATCCCTGACCTTTCTAAAATTATTGATGGGCTTTTTGCAATCTAAACATACCCATTCTCTGAACCCAACTTCATTTTTATGACAAAAATCAATTTTGTCAGATTTTGTTTTTGGTTCATTTGGAATATCACACTGACATTGAGATTCTTCTTTTCTTTTGTCTATCAACTTTTCGCAGATCCAACAGCTATTACATTTTTCGTGGATTTTTTGTAACTCGGGTGACCAGATCAACTTTGCTTTATTTTTAAACGTTTCGTTGATCTTCTTTGTTTCCTGAGAAAGTGACCGTATAAAATTAACAGCCGCGTTTTGACCTCTGTACGTCTTTTGGCTAGTGCAAACTCCATCGCATCTGACGACCGCGTATGAGTATCTGCAAGGCTTGTGAATCTGTGTTTTGAGAGTGTTTGTATCTGTCGGCGGTAGTTTTTCTAAAACAGACTCAAAATCGGCGTAAATGACAAAAGGCGCGTCTTGTTTATTTTTGTAATTTTTAAACTTGAGTATATTTTCGCCTTTGACCGGCAACTCGACCGTACATGTGGGAACGTTTAATCCTTGACAATCTTCTTTGTGTCTGGTTAACTTTTCTTCCGTTTGGAAATGCGACATGCAATTGAAACACCAGTGTTTCTTATGCTCGTGATGATCGATATCACTCGTCAACCTAGAAAATTTTTTTTCCAACAATAGTGATTTACTTCATCTCGGGTAAAATAAAGTAAATTGATCGTTTCTTCTGGACGCTTGCTTTTGTAAAGAATGTAAAGACCGTCTTTTTTGGTGTAACCAAACACATTGATCGCCAAGTTATTTTGCGATTCGATACGTGGGATCTGAGATATGGGTGTTGGAAAGCTTACGTTTGTAAAATTTAAACCATCTGATTCTGACCTGTAAGTCGATGTTCGCTCGTCATGTATTTTATATTTTGGATTTGTTTCTAGCTGGCTTTTGACGTCGTCTGAATATAACTTTAAAGCTGCCCGCAACGCCCATCGGATACATTCTTCATCTTTATTTTGGACGTTTATGATTGCTTTTTGTCTCCCAATTCTTTAGGCAACGGAATGTAAGAAGAACCCACTGGATTATATTTAACCACGTTGATGCAGAAAGCGACGACTTTGTCAAAGATCCAACCCGAGCCCTTTTTGTGTATGAGCCTCCACCTCTTTTATTTGTTTTTCCCTCTGTTCAGTGAGTGCGTTTTTAACGTCGGCTTTATTTGTTACTGCATCGTTGTCGCTCAGAAAGGGAAATACGCCAAATTCAGTTTTTTCGGGTTTTTCCAATCTAAACTGAACTTTGATATTTGTTTGCAATTTGTACGAACCAATTTCTTTTAGTTCTTCCAAAGCTTTTTTCTCGATGAAAGTTTTGTAAAAATCAAAAAGTACACGAGGTCATATTCAAAGAAACGTTGTATCAATTCCCACTTGCGAAAATTACCCTGAAAGCGCCTGACGTTTCTAATGTCGACTTCCGCAATTTCCTCGGGCTGAGTGTAAGCTTTAATCGCTTCAATAAAGTCCTGTTTGACATATTTCTCTTTCTTTGCAAAAGGAATATTATATTTTTGAACCGTTTTCAACAGCTGCCGATATGACTGACGCGGGAGATACCTAAATTGTTTTTGATCTGCCCGTATAGCTTCAATGAGCTCGGGTTTAGTGTGAGATTTACGGGTTTTGGTTGTTTTTGGTGCCGGTAATGGGATGTTATACCGCTTGACAAAATCTTCTAAAAACGCCTTCTTAAATCGATCAAAGGTCGTTAGTAGAGGTCGGTGTTGTGGGTTGCTCATGTCTCTATTTATATGTAGGTCTCTAAAATTTTTATCATTTTTTCTATCGACTTGACTTGTTTTTTATATATTGTTATTTTCATATATAGGTCATTTATTTAAGGCGGTTGTAAACATAGCGTGTTTTGCTTTGAACAGAGCCATGCTTTAAGTAGAGGTCACAAGTTCAGGTCGGGCTAGCGACGGGAAGTCCCTTTTTTGTTTGTGAGTGATTGCTGGTGCGATCGCCGCTGGTCACGAGTTGTTTACAGGAAAAGTGCGCTGGGGTCAAAAGTTCAAGGTCAGTGAAGTGGGAATCCCCGGCGCGTGTGGGTGAAAGGGAGTTTTGGCTCAGAAGGTGTATATTTACCCGGTATTTTTAGAGCCGGATTTTGGGGTCGATGAGGTACCCAGGGAAAATTGTTAAAATCTGAAATTCCAGATTTTTAGGGGATTCCCCCGATTTTTTGCGTCGATGTACTACCCGGGAGTTTTTGCTGAAAACGGTGAAAAGGGCGTGTGGTCCAGAATCGGCTATTCCCTACAACTCATGTCACTGATCGCTGCGTGGAAAGGCATGCTTCATCTGTGCATTGCATGAATACACAGTTCAGCACATGCAGTACGAGGCAGAAACCAGACACACAGACTGGTCCAGGACTGTATAATGCATGTATGTGCAATAGGACTTGATTGTTGGAGGGAGAAACCAGAGACAGAGATTGGTTCGGGCCTGATGAGTTGGAGGCAATATGAAACCAGTATGGACTCGTTCGGGATGAAATGTACGTGCGATATAACTTGTTTGCTTAGAGGCAGAAACCAGATACATAAATTAGCGCTGACTTTGTAATGTGAACGTTTATTTGCATCATTCAGCCTGGTATCTCTATTTTTTCCGAAAATAAGGGCATAAAAGCGGGAAAGCAGAAAACAACCCAAAAAGCTGAAATTTTCCGCCAAATTCGGAAAGGTTGGGAGGTCTGGATCGGACCAGCCTATTCCATGCAGTTAACTGCCCTACACAATGGCATTCTCGTTCCCAAAAACTGAACAGCCTGAGGGAAAACGGAGATAACCATGGCCCGGTGCCGTTGTTTGCTAGTAGTAATATGGTTATGGTTAGGTCAGCAAAAACTGCCAATGTGCTATCAAGATTTTACTATCCACCCTGAGCTTAAGTGCACCCTCACTGGCAAGAGAAAGACAGAATGGTACGATCATTGTGCGGTCTTTCAATGAATAAGCCCATACAAATCTGAGATGATTATTTTATTAATATTCACTTGTAGCTTTCATGACAAAGGTTTATTAAACATTCAATTTAATCAACTATAGCAGACATATTTTAATCTACTGAAGCGCCGGCGGCCGGGTCCGGCCGGTTGGGGCGCCGGCGGCCGGGTCCGGCCGGTTGGGGCGCCGGCGGCCGGGTCCGGCCGGTTGGGGCGCTAGCTCGGACCCGCAAGGAGTTGGCTGACCTCGCACCTGCGCAGTCCCTGCCAACAGGCGCCATGTTTAGAGCTTGTCTGAAAAACACATTGTTGTTGATGCTACAGCAATAAAACAGAGATTTCTTGACCAGAACAGCGATCTGTGGCTCTGTGTGTATCTATACTAGCGTCGGACCCTAATCTGTACGACACGCTACACTACTATTAAAATTTGCTCCAGTGGTACGTGCTTTGTATATTAATGCAAGGGAACACAAAGACAAAATTTGTTTTCATTTTCAAAACGATTACCGTGCTCCAAATTTGTTTACACCGTCTTTTGTTACATTTTCCTTTTGAAGGGCCTAGGATTAAGTGACAGAAATAAATCAAAGTGAACAGTGTGCAGTTCTACACATAATCACAAGGGAAAATATTGCCATAATTTCACATAATTCAAATCTGAATCAGACCAGCCCAAATGACAGCAAAATGACTATCGAGATCAAGAACATAGAGAGGAAATGCTACATTTATGGTGAAAGGAAAGGGATTCAAGTTCATTTACTATAAGACTAGATTTATTATGAATTCCATTGGGCTGGTCTACAGTCCAAGAGGCGCCAACCCTTCCCACACTCCTCCCATGTGGCGAGTCAGATTAGCATCTAAAAAGTCACGACAAAATTCGAGCTATAATTATACCTGTTCTCTTCGTCAGCATGCCACTGCTGCCACCACTGTAATGTTGACCACCTGGGTCTCACCATGCTGACAAAAGACACTGTGAAGCTTCCTCTCTGGTTTTTGTGGCTTTCGGCCATTTATTAAAACTCTGACTCTCTTGTTTGACAGCATCTCTGAAAACAATGTGCTTCTAAAAACGCTACTGCACCAGCGCTGCGGCAACGGGTCTCTCAGGCTGACCGACGGGCCCACTGCATGGCTCTACCGTGGACCCATGCTAGCGCCCAAGCCAGTCATCCAGCACTCACACTTCAGTAGTTTTCACTATAAATTTCACTCACCGGTGAACTGTTTGCCCACATCATCCTTTAACCTGCCTATTTTTTTTGCAAGTAAACTGCCCTACACAATGGCATTCTCGTTCGCAAAAACTGACCGGGGAAATTAAAGTGAACACTTCTACACACAAAACCACAAGGGAAAATATCGCCATAATTCCACATCATTCAAATCTGAATCAGACCAACCAAAATAACAGCAAAATGACTGTACACAGATCAAGATCATAGAGTGGAAATGCTACATTTATAGTGAAGGGAAAGGTGCAACACTGGCGAAAATAAATGGAACACTACATTGTCCAATTCCCATGGGTGTAAATCCCATAGAGGATGGGGTATATACCCCTCCACACACACCTTTTTTGGGGGGAATGGCTATTGAATCATCTTCCCTCACTTTTTTGTGATGACCAAAAATGTCTAAGTGAATTGTGTAGAATTTTCAGGATTTCCCAAAGACTGAAGTGTCTGCAACATCATTAAAAAGGTGAAACAATTTAATTAAGCCAAAAATATGCCATTCTGATGTAAGAATCTGTATAAATTTGCTACACATCACAGGTGTACATCTTTATCAAGAACATCACCCCCTATATAGTATATATAATGTATAAGGTGTAGCCCCCCTTTTCAAATGTCCATGGCCAGACAAGTCATTCCCCTTCTACCTCCCCCCCCCCAATTTCTTGCAGAGATTTTTGCCAGTGCCAATCCCGAATCAGTTCATGCTCAACATCATGGGAAAGAAACTGAGACTCCTGTACATCCCTTAAAATGCTCTCATCGAAGGCCATAGTGCAATTTATGGGGGAACTTGAGACTATATCTAAATTAAGGTGACATTTTGTTAAAAAAGAATCTTTATTACCGTATTCTCGATATTGGGGGAAAAGTTGCCTGTGGACAAAACCGTATTTGCTAATACTACCAACGAAGCCTTACATTTTTTTTACAACAAATGGAATAAAACCCAGACTTAATGAAAACTAAAATGACAGAACAGTAAATACTGATTCCTTAGGGTACCTGTACACTAAAGTTACATATGCCTTGATCAGCCGAATTACTTCTGAAATGGCGTTATCAACATTTGTATGTTTGCATCTGTATAGAAGACTTTCCACTTTGTAGACACATGACTCTATTTCCAATTTAAGAATGGTAATCAGCATCAAATGATTCAGTCTGAGTTTACTGGTGTATATAATTCCTTGTGAATCCTCTAACAATTTAATCAGTATCAACACATCCACCTTTTTTTCTGTTTAAAAAGTAACCCCAAAGGTGGTGACAAAAATGGGAATGTAGTTTAATAAATTCACGTGGTATCCAAGTAATAAGTTATATATGTAAAGTGGCACTGTGACTTCTGAATAAAAGGTAATAATGTGATAAAAGTATGGACCAATTCTGCAGGTTTTTTCAAACTTTTTCCACATTTGTACGGTTGGTGGCGCCACGTGGTGATTACGCGCCACTGTGAAACGAAAAACGTCATGACCTGGTTTCCTGTATACATTTTCGTACAAAGGCCTGAATGCCTGAGCTGCCAGCCTAGCCTAGCCTAGCGTGACACTCTTTTCGGAATAGCAACACAATAAACATTGAAAACATCTGTCCTTTACTCTGAACTTGCCAAGCCGTATTTATCAGATCTTGGTCTCCTTCACCACTTTGTTAACCGGCGGTGGCCCCATCGTCAGCCCGATTGGGATCCTGTTGGCGCTCCACTGGCGCGATGGGTGTGAAGCGGTGAGGCTCTGCTCCTCGGACTTGGGACAATGTATAACTTTAACTACACACGTGTTACTATACTACATGTAATTACATGCATTGACGTGACCACGCCAGCTCAGCACATACATGCATCAGCTGCAGAACCGTTTCCACAGTGCTACATCCACAGAATCCTAGAAAAGCTGTATTCATGAGATGTAAACGAAGTGATGATGACACATTCCTTTCACGAAAGCTAGACATGGCATTTGGCAGAAACGGCTCTCAAAAGTGATTTTTTTTAAACCAAAAATATTGCTGAATCTGGATTTACATGGCACAGATGTCTATAGTGGGATCCAAGTAAACATACTCTGACCAGATTTCTTATTTTCTTCCACCGTTGGGGTTGCTCTTTACATCTGACATGTTTTTTCTCGGTTTATTATTCCTGCTCATCGTTTGGACTATTGACTCGTAATCATAGGTTGGTTTGTGTTTATAGGTTGGATATAGTACAAGACTTGATGTACGTGAAGGAACTCTTCTTGCCTTCTGTGATACATAAGCTGGTTGTTCTGAAACACGCTTGCTGTTAGCAGCTTGGCATTCTCTCTCCCACGTATCCAAGCATCTCCATAGCTTCCTATCTCTTCTTAGTACTGGAGCTATCTAAAGAACAAGAGTGGAAAAATAACTAGTTCTTTAAAATATTTTTTTTAATTTAGGTAACTCATCAACATTGTCCATAAAAAAATGGATACAATAATGTTTGGCAGTGAATGAGGATGTGACAAGAACAGACCATCACACCTAGAATTACAAAGCTGTATAAAACATAAATTCTTTCAAATATGAAACCAACTGGGCAAATAGGCTTTGAAGACTGAGAAATTAAAGTTTAAAAAGAACAGGGAACAGGCAGCAGAAGTATGAGTATGAGAGAGGATCTGAGCATGAGCAAGAAATTAGGATACATGTAAGTTGGGCAGGAATATAAAAAAGTTACTCACCAAAGCCCCTTTGTCAAAATTCTTTGTTAGAGGCAGATGTTATTTCTGCTCACCTCATTCTTCTTTAGACAGCCTCCACCAATTACAACTCATTCTCACTCCAAAGGTGAGTACTATTTGCCACATCACCTCACAGTGAGGGAGGTGGATGGGGATTACGTTGTGGGTAAGGTGGGGAACTTATCACTCCTCAGATCTTTACTGTACAGCTATTGTACTGTTGTCTACATTAAATTCATCTGTTAAGTTTGAAGTTGATAAAGGGTTGGGAGATCCCACTGCCAGCTCTTTTGGGGTTAATGCTGAAGCAAATTGACTATAATTTGGTGAGACTACAATGCTTTCAAACCCACATCAGTAATGCGACGTGGTGAGGATTCCACACTGCAGCAAAATTGTCTTCATGAACTACTGTCATGCTTATCATTAAGCAGGCTGTTAGTAAAAAACATATCTGTTAATATTGCAGTTAAAAAATAACAATTTTGCTGAATTGTAGACAGCAAAACAAAAATAAGAACTTCCTATGCAGCACAGATTGGCTATAATGGGTAGCCCCCAAAACACAAAAATGTTTCAAACTCGATTCCCCCAAGGCATAATATATGGTCCAAACATGATGGAAGTTTCCAAGCTGCATGGCTAGAAGATTTTTGGCAAAGAAAAGTAAAACTAGGGGTGCATGATTGCACATGCACGCTCATTGCATCAATGTCACAGACACAGGAGTCAACTGCACACTTCACTCCAGGATGAATTTTTTCCCATGAATCCCCAATGCTGCATTATCAAGGAGGTGCATTATTCCTAGGCTAATCCACTAACTAGTCCTGCAGCCAATTTCACAAAACTTTACGTAATGGCATAATTCCACTTATGCCACATTTTATTACTAATAAAATGCACAACAAATTAAAACCAATTTCATGAAACTTATGCACTGTGTAAGTTATGGCCCAATGTACGCAGTCATTTTAGGTGGTGTATGTGGCGCCAAACAAAGCGAAAAGGAATGATTTGACAAGCATGTCATGTTCGGTTATTAAAGCCTCATCACTGCTCAACTCAACAAGGCTTATATGGAAAGTGTACAACTTTGTTTTAGAAGGTAATGAAAACTAAAAAAAAAAGAAAAAAAAGGAAAGCTTTTTCAAAATGGAGGGCTGGGTGATTCAACGACTGTTTGATGACTGTTGTTATATTGGAAAGGAACAGCCATCCTAAAAAACTTTCTTGTCCATGTCCACTACATTTAATATTAAAACTTGGCACAGCTATGCAACAGTTTGTGAAATGGAACATAAACTACAACAAATTTATGGTGCAAGAATTACGCATGGTTCAAAGTTATACTAAGTTTCGTGAACTTGGCTGCTGGCAGTTGAAAACTTCTCTTTTCTTAAAGGACAAGAGAACATGTCTTGCCTGTTCTCCATCCTAACCCCTCAGATGTTGTTCACTTACTATGATCTATGAATGCCCTGTAGTTTTGGGATTTTTATGACAAGATATTCAAATTTATTGTTGAAAATGCCACTCTATTTTCTCGATTTTTTAACAAAGCAATTTATTAAAAAATGAAGCAATTCAGTGGAATGAAAGCTGCAGCCCCTAATCAACCAATCTTGTTAAATTATGACAAAATCCAAAGGTGTCACCTCCGTTTAAACATCCTAAGCTTTAAATTAATACCCAAAACATCAATTCTGAAAATAATTTTGGTACAGACTAAATGTATTTTGTGTTGCATTGCATTGTGATTTTTTATTTAGAGGGAGGGGAATGCTTGCGGGGTATCCTTCATAGTACAGATGTAATATGAGGGCTTCGAGACTTGCTTAATTATCTCATTTTATTAAGAACCTCATCTTTAAACGTACGTGGATTTATTAGTGTGGCAATTGTTTCCCTCTCAATCCTCTTTTTTATTCGCATCTCTTTCGCCGAGAATAGCCAGAACTCCATCACTGATAATGGATTACTATGAATGAAGCATCAAACCATTCCATATAAGCATATACCATTGAAAACATAAAGGCCACCCGTCAGAGGCAACAAAACTCAATCAGTGAGGTATCTCTCTACATCTGCACAGGAAACACATTCATCATTGATGCACATGGCCACTCCTCTGGGGTAAAAATACACCATAATATCCCATGCTTTTGTGGGTAACCTTACGATCATCACTGAAGCATCTGCTCACTTCCTCGATGATGACCAGTGAGCCTTTGTTGAGGTACTCACAGCCAAACCCTTAGAGATAACCAGTGGTTCATCACTGAAGTATTCAGTTGCACCCTCAGAAATAACCAGTGGTCCAACACTGAAGTATTCAGCTGCACCCTCAGAAATAACCACTGAGCCTTTGTTGAGGAATCCAGCCACAGGTGAGGCATCACTGATCCCAGTTGATCCACCACTTGGAAAGCCAAACATCTTCATTCAAATTATGTGAAACCTTCTGGTAATGTTTGATACTATCTACTGGTACGTCTTGAAATTACTCTTTAAACCTTTGTGAAAAAAAAACAACACTTGTACCTAAATACCACAAAAAATATGTTCCATAACCTGGAATACTTTCTGACCCAAACAGATGTGAGTTTGATAACTGACAGAAAGATGGCCAGGCAGACAAAACACAGACATACCATAAACAGTAGTGAGAATTGAACACAATGGAGATACTGAAGGTTTGGAGTTGAAATATGTTTACTCTTTTCACAAGTACGAAAACACACGCACACACGACAATTTAAGAAAACTTATGACCAAGGTACACAAGAATAAGTATTCAGACCTAAAAAAAATAATGTGCACGCCTGCCTTGTAAAGAATTGGACCCCTTGAAAAGACGAACCACTTCCAATCCAAAAATCTATGTGTGAAACAAATACACACGTAGATCTGTGTACGGTAACACACAAAGTTAACCGACAGTTAATAATTAACACATTGCACAAAGTACATACATGTATTCATAAATACCTCAGACAGTTTCCATATTAAACAACCCACAACGGGACCGTAAAGCAACATTTTGATAATGCCAACTGCAATTTGACAATGCCATAAATGCTGCATAAAAATGCGCTGGTGCCTGGATACAAACAGTTTAAAGAGCAACCCCAACAATGGAAGAAGATAAGAAATCTGGCCGTAGTATGTTTACTTGGATCCAACTAAACACCACACATAAACCCGAATTCAGCAACATTTTTGGTTAAAAAAAATCACTTTTGACACCCATTTCTGCCGAGCACCATGGCTAGCTTTCCTGAAAGGAGCATGTCGTCATCGCTTCATTTACATCTCATGAATATGGCTTTTGTCCACATAGCACCAGGGAAACAATTCTCTGGTTGGTGCATGTATGCACTGAGCCGGCACAGTCATGTCAATGCACATAATTTCACACAGTATAGTAACAAGTGTGAAGTTACAGTTACACTGTCCCAAGCTCGTGCTGTCTGGAAGGCCCGAGATATTCTCCCCAAAAATGGCTGAACGCGGAAGACCCAAACGTGACAACTCTTGGTACGAGCAAGAAGAACACTCACCAGAGCAAAAAGAACCCAAGGCCGTGCAGCTGAGGCGTGCAGGCCTTTGTACAAAAATGTACCCATGAAACCAAGTCCTTCGAGGTCATGACGTTTTTCATTTCCACACTGGTGCGCAATTGAAAAGGCATTTCAGCATGGTACCACTAACAGCACAAACATGGACAGTTTTTGAAAAACCCATAGAGTTACTCCATACTTTTATTGCAATATAACTATTTATTCAGAAGTCACAGTGCCACTTTACATATGTAACTTATCACTTAGATAACATGTGAGTATATTAACCCCTTCACGGCTGGATTATTTTGACCCCAACTGCTGGCCTGTGGTATGCCCTCAATGGAGGGCTTTGTCAAGCAGCAGGCCCCATTGAACCAGCAGCTGCACGGTGAATAGACTGTATGTGTGGTATGCACTAATCCTCACAGTAGTGGCAGTCCACAGTAGTGGCAGTCCTCAGTAGCGAAGGGGTTAAACTGTATTCCCCATTTTTTTTCACCACCGTTGGGGTTGCTCTTTAATCCATTCCTATTGGTCAAGAGTCTGTGTGCATTGTGGCAAACAGAACTCACCACATCTATTTGTGGAGATTCTTCTGGACTACTTGAAAAAGGAACATACCATAAAATGGACCGGGTGTTCGTGACACTGAAAGTAAAATTCTTGAACAAAACCCTTGGAAATTAATAGTATATTGACTTTTTTGACACTCTAACTAAAACGGTATTTATGAATGGGAATAAATATGTGCTTAGATAGTCTTTACCTAATACTGAAGACCAGTCAAGAACATACATATACATGTATCTATTCCCTTAATACAATAGTGAAAGGGACAGCTGCATGTAAACCAAGCTGCAAAAAATGATATACAAAGATGTGAAACTTTATTGGAACATTTTTGTACAATGTTTACATCAAGTAAAGAAATATATTTTGACCATGATGAGTGAACAAGCTACACTCTATTAAACCTTGTCTTCAGTAACTTACTCATAACTCACTTTTAGAAGGCCCTTCATAAACCCAACATTTGGGTTTCTTTTTCCTATTGCATTTGGCCATTTATTTTTAACATACAAATCTAAATACAGCTTTTAAAAACCAAATTATTTATGTCTGCTATGAGGTGAGAGCCTTCTACATTGCACATCACATGACCTTTGAACTTTTGAAACATCTCCAATAATTGTGATTCTAGAAATCACATTCATTAAAATTTTCCATATACATGTACCTTACAAATTTCAAAATGGGAAAGACTGAAGGGAGGAGAGTGGGCCACACAAAAACAACGCAAGCAGAACTTCAATGAAGCAGTAATATGAACTGAGTTTCGTTTTAGCATTTGAAGTGGTGAGATTGAAACCAGGTCATACTGACTTGAAATGACAATTTGCCATATTTCAATTCACTGCTTAGAGATGGCCCTTCTTGGATATTCCAATGGTGCAATCAGTTGTGATGGATAACTAGTAAAGTTCTAAATCGAAAAGTCACTTGAATGTTGTTTGAGGTACAGGACTGAACTACATGTACATTCTTTAGCCCTAACAGTCCCAAATCATCTGATTTCAATATGATTTTACATACGCCCTAGGGGGTTGGTGTTAATTCAGGCAAACAAAAATGTAAAAATGCCACAATCCAACATGACTGCTGACAATAACGTGACATTTGAAGTAGCCTTCCATGATGCTAAAAGCAAGACCAAAATTATGAATAAGCTTCCCAAATATTTGTGCAATCCAAAAACTGGCTTTGAAAGCAAGCCTACAAGCAGAAACACTCCTCATAAGTTGAATATATCAAAAGCTGGTAATTACATCACATTATTGCACACCATAAATGATTAGTGCTTTCCATTTCAAGCAGTGTTCCCTTTTTGCTTACAAATGTAAAAAATGCAGAAAATGACCTTTTACTGCAAAAATCCAGTTCAAAAGTGTTAAGTTTATGTTTTAAAAAGTCTGCCACAATTTAACTTTTAAATTATGCATAATTATGTATTTACATGGGGGGGGGGATAAAAGCCAAATCTATGTATGTAAATAGAGGGGGGAATAGGGTGTTATAATAATAATACTTAACACACAGTTTTTATATAGTGCATCACATCGAAGTCTCAATGCGCTTCACAAGAAACAACAATTAAAGGCAATTAATGGAACAGGTAAATTTTAAGGAGTGTTTTAAATTCATTTTCATTATAGCACCCCACTTTTGGAACACACTTTTTCATGGTGAGGAATAAAAATTAAGGTGAATTGTTAAGAACTGTACAGACTTTCCCACAACTGCGTTTAATAGCACTTGAAAAGGGAGAATTAAAAAAAATCATAAATATGCCACTCTGGTATAACATTCTTTTGCAATGTAATACATGTAGGTTACAGATGTGTAATCATGAACATCGCCATCTATATAGAACCAAAAGGAGCTGACAATAGACAACCAATATCTGTATACATTTGATTTTTCTATACAAGAAAAACAGGATTTTTTTATCAATGTACATGTAGGTAAACACAAACAATTGATGTCTACATGCAGTTGCTGAGAAGTGGTAGTTTACCAGAATTTTACAGGAACATTTCTCACATGATATTTAACCACTTCGCACCGGGCCCATTTATCCATGTTGATTCTGCTGAGCCGGGTAATTTTTCATTTTCCTGTTTTCAAATTCATTAAAAACTCATAACTTCATTTACTGGACGTTTACACCCACACAAATGACTGTCTGGTGGCTACTCTAATCTAACAGACAACATCTATTGATGCCCATGAATTTCAGCCAGGCCTGCCACCTGGTAAAAAGAGCCTGATTGTGTGCTGTTACATAAGTTTCTTGGTTCCTGAAACTGGCACAGTGTGCGGCTGGCGGTTTTTTCAATGGGGGCCAGATTAGCATGCAAGGTATTGTGTCACTCATAACTGTGCACTAGAGCATTTGTCCATGGTGGTAATTTGCTGGCACTGAATGCCACAAATTAAACAGTTTTATAATATTTCAAATCAATGATGGATTTCCTCCACTTTTGACAACTGAAAAAAGTTAGCAATTCTCAGCAGCTTGGTCTTTTGTTTCCAAGTGCAGTCTTTTATGTTACAAGGTCCAGCTATTTTGTCTGGTTTCGGGCTCCCTGGCTTCATGTATAAAGCTTATGTGCCCAAAACCAGGCACCCCGGTAGGAAATTGTTAAGTCTCAGGAAAGATTCAGTAAACACACTAGCAACTGGATACTTCAAAGCTCTCCTTGCTCTTCCTTTTTTGCTCTAATCCACTAAGATGACATACCTTTTTTTCCAGCTGCTGTATCTTTGCATCCTGTTCTGCTATTCTATGTTTTAACTGTGAATTAAATTGACAGAGAAAAGAAAGAGATACACATAATATGTGAAAGTGTACGGTAGAAAGAGTATATGTTTGACACTCACAGGTCTTCAATGTCATAACTGACCCACTGCCAACAAACCTGAAGTGTTCTGGCAAAATGAGACAGAATTTGGCTGTACCTTATGTTGATATACGGAACATTCAGAAGGGCACAATATCTTCTGATTACAGTAATTAAACACCATTATGTGTTCTTATATTCATTTGAAAAATCTTTGGTGGTGTGCACAAATCTGGAGGTCTTTGGTGCCCTTTCATAATACTTTATTTCTCCAACTATAACAGACTCTGTAGGCCTTGAAATGAATGACAGCCATGAGTGCCAGTGCGGTCATTGCCTTTCTTACTGACCAAGGTATGACCTCCTTATCTAGAATATGCAAAGAAACATCATACATCCGACAAAACATGGTTCATCCCTCTGGCTGCCGGACTATTATACTGTAACGTCTCTCTTAAGGTAGGGAGTCGTTATCATAAAGAATGAGAGTCATTGGACTGACTTATACACACACTACTGTTTTATTCCGAAGAATTATTCACATCTTCTCCATATTTACAATGAGCAACTGCTTCTAATAAGGCTGGATATTACTTAAGTACTGCTCGTCCAAATCTGGGCCATTTTTTCGGGAGCGAAAGAAAGGTTGATCATATAGGAGCTATACACTCACGAACGGTCAGAGAGTTGTTTCTCCAAAGCTGCCTGCTAGGGAATGATCGATGCTGACCGCTGGAGCTGGTCGCTTTATATAGACTTTTGGGTCCGCATCTTAGCCAATGGGAGCACTGGATTGGGGTGGTTATGAATAATTCATACATGTAGAAAGTCTATGGAAGAAAAGTCTTTTTTGTACACACTTGGTCCTCGCTCACTTAGTTTCTGGAGAGCGATAAGGTCCAAGAAGTTTGGGAGCGGGAGGGTGAAAGGCTGTTCGTGGGTGAGCTACGGGGGACTTGGATTTACTAGAGGACCGATGCAGAGGGTCTTTAAAAACTAACAGTGCTAGCCCCCACTCACTCGCCCCCACAAAGGCACCGGCCATGTTCGACCTCTTTTTTCGACGCGAGAAGTACCACGAGGCCCTATGGGACGGAGGGAGGGAAATTGGTAATCTGGTAGGTATGCAGTAGTAGACCCAACCCACATAAGGTGGAGGGAGAATCTACTGCCTGCAACCTACGCACAGTAGTGGGGACATATAATCCCAACTGCTGGGTGGACCCCCGGTTTCAAGCGGTTTTCGCCGGGTCCTCCATTTTCTCTGTAATGAGCACATTATGTACGGGTCACTGTACACCGAAAGAATGGTTTCTGGAGTGCCATGGAAGTCCAGAGGCCAAACAAAGAGACCACTTTATTGTACCTTACTCCCACTAATCCATGCATGTCCTGCCTCCACCCACACAAGAGGAGGGCTGGGGTTTTTTGTTGGGGAATCTAATCCTCTTAAATAATCTGTGCAAGTGGGTTGTCTTGAGAGAGGACAGAACTTCTTGTTTTGGGCTTTTCCCTTTTACATGTATTAAATTTTTTTTACACCTTTCCCACGATCACTTTCTAAATGAAACTCTTCATTAACTGATTTATGATATTCTACAATATCTTCCTTTCTCTTTTCAGCATCCATCCCTACTGACAACATAAAGTCACTGAATATCATTTTATTAGAACTCTGGCATTTTATAGCATTGAAGAATTTACAAATATGAATAATTTTCGATACCTTGGTCACTGTCATCTGCTTGATTTCTCCCCGAGCTTTCATTAACCCCAACTGAAAGCAATACATGGGAGACAGACAAAGGAAAATTACAATTTCGGTTATTTCAATTATTTATTTCCAATGATACAAGCTGATATTAAATTGATTGTGCAAAATACTGCAAGAATCATTACGCTTAAGAAAAAAATGAAATAGCTGCAGACGGATTTGAAATACGTTACATCGAACATATTGTAAAAAGACAATACAAATAAAGCCAATATCACAAATAGACAATTGAGTATGTGACAATTTGTGTTTCTGTAGAAAAAGTTGATGACTAGTCATTTTTACTTGAGATATGTTCAATTCAACAAACTTTAAAACGTGTTTCTTCTTGAGTGTCAGGGCACTAAAATATGTTCAAAGGCAAATTTGAAGCTCTCTTTCAAGTTTTACCTTTTGATCTTATTCATTATCAAGAAAAGGAACTAGTAGTTTCATGTGGGAACCTATGACAGTTCACTTTGATTTTCATTTGTTAAAGTTTTGGTAGCAGATTTTTTGCCCCTTGGCCTGATCAATTTTTTTAGTTGCTATTTTTCTAGCAGTACAAAAGCATCTGACGTTTGAGTGACAAAGTGAAGGGAAAATCAATCCCACTGCACTTTAGTTTTCAAAAAATCACCTGCAAGATTGGAATTATTTACAGCCAAACAATAATTCAGTTTCCCAGGGGAATATCTTTTCGCTATTGAGGCCTGAAAGCATACCCTTGCAAAAATGGACCCATGTACAGTTGTTAATTTCTTTAGATGAAAAACGTCTTTGATGAAGAGTACAGACTGACTGTCTTTAAAGACTTGGTCAGAGATTGTCCAAATGATCACCTCAGAATGCAAAATTTTGTACATATTTCTAGTGTCACTGGTTGATAATGCTGAGGTGGCATTTCCGGTCTTCTTTAGAGGAGAACATGTAGCAAGGGCATTAAAGACATTGTCCCAGGTTCTTAGCAACAAATGATGACGTATCTTCTCCCTTTCGAACTCCATCTGAGGCTCGCAATTCCAGATAGGTTTTGTAATGACCCGGGAAATCCGTTGACGGCGTAGGAAGCAGATTGATACCTGTTTGCCTGAATTTCAGCCATTGCTTGGACAGCCCATACCGGGTGCACCTGGCAGAATGTACACCACTGCTTTGTGCACTTTATGATCGACAGTTCTCGAGGTCGTCTCTGGACGTGTTCCACGGCAAACCAGATTTCTTGAACTCTGGTCTTTGATCCTGATGACATGAGAGGATGAACTTTGTCATAGTCATTGATGGGTGAACTAGGGGCAAGGCACGGATGTGAGAAGACTGTATTTTATGGCCGGCAAAAAACTGACCATCCCAATAGTTGTTTACTTCCTTCATGCCATTGCAAGGACATGGACTTCCTTTGCCCGTCACTCAGCTGGTGTGAGATTCTGACTTTAAGATTCTGTATCATCCTCGAGACTGCAGGGAAGGCATACCGAAGTCAACATTTTACTTAGGGGCGACCAACCGTGTTCTATGGGATTGAGGGCGGAGTTTTTCGAGGCATATCTAGTGAAAGATATAAAGTCCAAGTTTAGCCATAGGAATAATCTGGAGAGAGACAAAAGAACGGTTCACGACGCGTCCCTCCAGTCAGGACCCCCATCGACAAGCAGGACGATTGCCGTCTTATTGTTTTGTGTACACTTTTCGATGATTGGGATGAGGTAGTTCACATGCTCTTGTATGGACGTCTTCTTGAACTTCGGGACTCTGTTCACTATGCGCAATGGGCCGGTTCTAGGGCTGGTCAAATGTTGAAGGCCGAATTCATCAGAGCATGTTGCCGGGGAATTGGCCACCTTTTCCAGCTGCATGTAGCCACACGAGGTGTTGAGAAAGCCGTTGCCTTGCAGAAAATCGTGGTCGGGGTAGTTTTGGGAATCATCGATCACATGAATCCAATTGATTTGATGATACCTGCTCACAGCCAATCCACCGACATGAATCTTGTTCATACAGTCACATAAAAAAATGGCGATCTCCTTGGCGCAAATTCTGCAGCAAACTCCATTCTATATTCAGAATTGATGTGCTTGTCCTTTTTGTTGTTCTTCTTCGCCAGTACTTTGGCCTGTATCAGGCCTTTATAGAATTGGCTGGATAGCCTTTTCTTGTTTGGGGGCATCATCAGCCAGGCACAAGTAGTGTTGCTGATGGAGAGGCCTGGGATTTCCTTCTGAAGATGTTCCCTTAAAGCTGGTATGGATGTGCTACATGCACGAATGACACTGGTACAGCGTCTTGAATCCGCAGCATAGCTACTTTGGTTCACAAAGTCAGTGGCGACTTCTACCAAATTAGGAAAAAGTTGGTCTTGGGAAGTTGTTCTTCGGTCTATCATCTCTGCCCTTTCGGATTGGAGAAGGGACCTGTCGAAATAAATGCAAAAAGAATGTTTTTAAATTACGTGTCCAACAAGATCCCCCCCCTGAATCACGGAGAAGTTTCAACCTTAGAAGAAATATTTGGAATGGGTGGGGCTGGTAAGATGAAGTGCAATTGTGGAGAGCTCTTCAAAACAAACAGATGTACACGATGTTGTGTTCATATGTAGCTGTATCGTTGTTGCTCTTTTAATCCAATTTTTTTTAAATTTTTTAATTGCGCCATTGTAATTTCCTCTGATTCTGCCATCGGAATACCCCACCTCCTATACGGACCCACCATAATTTCACGGGTTTGCTTTGTTCAGATTTTGAATAAAACTTTAATAAGACAGTATGCCCTTTTCATTTAATAATGAATCATGTTCATGTATTTTGAGCTGACAAGAGGATATGTGAATATAAATTGTTTTTCTTGTGCTATAATTAATATTCCATGTTGCACCAACCAGTTTTTGCACAATTTCTTTTTTAAGTGGAATGCAAATTCGCTAAAATCACAATGGGATCATCACCGAAAAATGAACTCAGGGTTAAACACTTTGTACCTGACAGGGCTTAGCATTCTCACTTCCACCATCACTCGACAGCCATGAATCGGTTGAGGAGTCATCAAAGCCATCCTCATCGTCTAGTGATGAATTAAGCCAAGAATCTAGTGACCAGTCGTCAGCATCCATGATGACAGAAATGTTTTATGAAAACACTTATTCAAGGCAGTCTTCTCATGCACATGACCCGATATGAATTTGACTGGAAATGATTTGGGAATGATGTGTCATGCTGTCTCCCCACCTATTTAGTAAATAATAATGTTTCGAAACAAATGCATGGGTTTTCCTCCCCTCCATTTGATGTTTCCTTTTAAAATCGGTGCGATCGTCCATACAGACCTTGGATATGTCTTTGAAATCGGTTCGTCTGTTTCACCCAAGAACGTATTATCAAGCCGGGAAAAAGCCTGTGAACCCCTAGCCTGAAAATCCCCGTAGACGCACCGAATTGAAGAGAAGAAATATGGGTAGGTGGGCCCTTGTCACACCTTTTGAAATCAACATATCTGTTTTGTCAAGATACCTAGTACAGCCAAAACCACTACTTTCTACTACTACTTTGAGGACGCCCTACTACATGTCACGTGATTTCACACTGGATGTTCATTCATCCCTCACCGAATGCCCAACTTTGATGGCTCTATCTGTCATTTTCTACTGCCTGCCAGGAACACGAAAACCTATCAACATTGCTACCTAGCGAAAAAAAACATTGTCACCAACAAGAAATATAAATAGCCCTGTCCTGGAAATCGTGTAACGTAGAGGTAATACCTGTGATGGACACCAAAATGAGTGAGCAGTCATGTCTAATTAATATTCCAATCTTGCTTTGAGATAAAACTAATCTTTTTTATCTTTATGCTGTTCCAAAATATGTGTACACGTATGTACTCGAGTTTTAAGTGAATGTGTCTGATAGAAGAAAAAAATTTCTGCAGTTTTGAACAGGTGTTTAACGTTATATTGAAGAATTCTGTGCATGAATAGTCACGTTTGACATTCAGGTATTCATATTGATGACTGGGGTATATTGCAATAAATCGAATTAATTATAAAGTTCAGTGCTTGTATTATATAACATGTAAAGCTAACATGTCTTTTTTATTTTTCAGCAAAGCCGCATAAAATGCAGCACATCCAATCAGATGACAGCGAAGACGATGCCCCTCTTGCAAAAATTGCACGAGTGTGTCCGGACATCGACTGCCGCGATACGAATGTCACCGAGGAGATCAAGAAAAAACTGGCGGAACATTTAGATGCCGTGAAGAAAGAGTGCAAAAAGCAGGTGGAGGAAGTGGGGGGCAGTCCAGGAGATTATTCGGGATCAACAGCAGAAACATGAACAGCTGAGGTTAGACTACGAGCAACAAGCGGGAGTAATCAAAGCGATGCTACAGAGGCAGGAGGATCAAGTTAACGAGACCATGCAGAACATCCTCTTAGTTTTGCATAACATTCAAGGGGTAGTGGCAGGCCAGGTCGAGAGGAAAGCAGAGAGACGTCAACGGGAAGAGTTGCAGCTGGCAAATCAGCAACAGCACCCCTGGCAACCTCAGTAACAACCACCCCTGCAGCTGCCGGTAGCCCGGTACAGCAACCTCCTCTGACTAGACCAGTCGTCAATGGCGAACTCCCATATCCTGCGCTAAACATCAGAGATGCAAGCTACTCATCGAGGTGAGCCACGAAGAGATCAACCCTGCCCAATTCTATGATCCAGTAGAGATTCCTGCCGATGAGTATGATGCTCTGAGGCACCGATGCCGCACAGTCACAGCTTTTCTGTGCGGATTTATCGGATATTTCTTCACGGCGGACATACTTAGGAGATCTAATTACTCAGGAACTACGGTCATAACGAAAGATGGACAGATGAAAAAGGACCCTTTGGACCGACGCCTTGTCTTGACAATGCTTGATCAAGTCGCCGCAGAATTTCCAGGGGAAGTCTGGGGAAAGAACTTTGTGAAACTGAGAGACATAATCAATGATAAATGTAAACAAAGCTGAGTGGAACAAAGTCTTAATACATGTATTCAACGTTTGAGATGTTCCTCTTCTTGCAATTAAACAATTAGTTGAAATCATATCAAGTTTATACATTTTTTAAGGTTTGGAAACAAATTCTAAAAACACACGCATAATCACACCTTAAACTTTGTAAAGAATGTTACTTTCTCTACAGGGAAGCTACACATTCCCGTGATTCTCTTTTAGCTTTATTTGGATGGAAAACGTAGTTTGACGAAACTAAATCATAACTAAATGTAACTGAAAAGGCAATCAAACATTGGCATTTGAACATACTTTAATTGAAGGAAATAAAACGTTTTCACACAAATGTCTTAGAATTGATTAAAGCACAAGGTAATTAATGGTATTTCTAATGGAGAATTTGTCAGTTTCAAATGTAAAATGTCACACTTTTAATATGTAATGATATAGGAGTTTAAGGACGATAACTTTTGAATAAAAGTGACACGCATGAAGATTAAATAGAAAACATGTAAGTTTCCATGTAAGTTTTCATCTTATTTCTGTCCATAATTTATGTCAATGTAATTTCCCAACTTTTCCCGCAGTAAGTTGGAATTTAGCTTATCATTATCGAGACAATTTATATTTTTTAACATTTCAGCGACACATTTGTATATACAACAAAAAAAGAAATACAAAACCTATACTGGGGATGCCATTGAAGGGTATTAGGGGTGTCATCAATAAGCTCTTTAATCAATAAGGCAAGCCAACAGACTGACAAACTATTGTGCACAGATTTCCCATAATCCCCTAGAGCAGCTTGCAGTTTTTAAGTAGCCAGTGGACCAGGCACAGATTGACCTCTTGCATATGCCATTATTCCGTAATAGTGTGTAGGACCATGAAAGGAGGACACCCAAAGATGCGGAGTACAGCTGAAGGTAGACTAAGTACTCATTTTTTGTGGCCTCAGAGAAGAGGGTATTATTGGTACATCTCCGCAGAACTCAT